ATCAAGGCTTTCTGAGATGCCCTAGGAGCTGTGTTTTTAATGTCCCTGCCTCAGTGAACTTTTGGAGACTGGGGGTGTCCATGGCCAGTTTTGAAGCAACTGAACCTCCCTCTCCATTGTTGGCTGGGCCTCAGGTCTCTCACAGAGAAACTGCTGCAATTTATACAGAATAACTTAAGCACTTTCCAGGAAATAAAAAAAAAAAAAAAAAAAAAAAAGGGCACATTATTCCATAACCTCATGCATCGCTGAAGCAGGGAAGGCTGGGTTTGACCCTGGCTGTGAGTAGCCCACTGGCCAATGCACCTTATGGCACACACTAGTGACTTTTAGTTTTGTTTCTTAGTGCAACACATTTCTCAAAGCAGGGACCAATCATGCCACACCACAGCAAATGCCCTGTCCGTGAGCTGCAGAGTCACACGCATCTCTCGCCCAAGGGTGCAACAGTGAGGGACTGATCTTCCAGTGTGAAGCCTGGAAGGTGCCTGGGAATGCTCAGCTCTTCCTGCTGCCTTCAGTGAGATGTAACCCTTTCTCAAAAGAGGCACCTGCCCTTCTCTGAGTAGGAGGCAGATGGAAATCCTGCCAAGAGTGACACCACCCCCATATTTAGGTAGCTCAGCAGGAGCACAGACAAATGTTGGAGTCATTTCTCTGGTGGGGAGCACCAGCCATGTTTGGCATTATCGTGCTTAACCTTAGCATTTGTCTTTAGGATCTCTTTGCTGCAGGGCTGTAGCTGAAATATTTTACTATTACCTGTCAACTCCTTACATGAAATACCTTATCCTGCAGTTTCTAGCTACGCTCTTTACAGCTGGTTCCACTCTGTGATAGCTGCAGCTTCTCAGCCCTGGGGTCTGAGAGTGCATCAGCCTTTTCGGGGCAGGTTTCCCAATGCCCTCCACCAAGCTGGCCATTGCCTGTGTGCCTGCTGCCAGCTGTGCTGCCAGCTGTGCCTGGACCAGGCGTCCCCAACCCGCTGTGGCACTGGGGTCCATTTCTGCTGCCTGGCAGTGACATCTAGAGGCTCTCTGGCCTGAGCTCCGGTCTCTCACTGCTCACAGCACTTGTCAGGCAGAAACCTGTCCCTCAGAAAGCCCCTGGGGAGTGTATTCACACCCTAAGGGTGAAGTACTGCAAGACAAATCCTAGTCCCTTCCTCACCCTTCTTCCCTAAACCACCATGGGAAGGATCTTTGTTGTAGCACCCTAAGGAAATTTGATATTGCTTCTGGGAAAGCAAAGGTTTGGGAGAACCAATCCATGTCCCTTCCCAGAGAGAAAAACTGGCCCATATGAGGCCAGTGCTGATTAAATAATACATACAGCTTTCCACTTGAGGAAATATTATTTCCTTGCTTTACATGCTATCCATTATATTTGCTGCCATCTAGCATCAAATGCAGAGCTGCCACAGAAACACCTCTGTATTGAGGCTAGCTGTGCAAGATGAAAGATGATTGTGCAAACAGTATTATGCATTTAAAAGCAATGCATTCAAGAAAGGGGGAGGAAATGTATCATCTCCATAAGCTGAATTATTCAGTCAGGTGATGAATGCACCTTCTGAAGCATTCCCAGGGTTTGAACCGAAATGCCTGTCATGGAGAGGAGGGAATACTATTGCCTATATGAAAGGCACTTGGTATTCAATACAATGTTTATTCTCTAGGGTGATATCCCATAGGCATTTTGAGTCACCAGAGCAGATTGCAAATGATCTTCTAGTCTGAAATCAGGAAAAGAACAGCTTAGTGGAGTAGAACTCTCTTACAATGAAAAATCTGTGGGAAGATCGAAAAGTGAAAATGTGAAAAG